AAATTCAAGTCAATACCTGTAGCACCTAATGTAGCAGCAGCATCCTTGGTTTCTTGTTGTGGCTGTTGCTTAGTCCCATCTATTACTTTCATTTGCATTTCATTCATTTCCTCTTTATTTCTTTTTTTCTAAAAATCCCTTCCCTTTTGCACTGAATTCAGGTGGAACCTCTGCTGTTTGAAAGTAAAAATCACTCCTTCTAATTTATCCCATTGAAATGGTATCTTTTTCTGTTTGAGCTTGTCTGTCAAAAAGAAGTATTCTTTTCTCTTATGCAGTATTCTGACTGGGATTTCTTTAAGTACAATTATATCTGCATTGTTAATCTTCAATCTGGTAATAAAATGCTGCTGCAAAACTTTGCTTCTTGTCTTCTTCCTGACAAAGTACACAAGAATATCCCTTGATACATTTCTTAATTTTGCAAATTGCATATTAGTCCTATATACTTTGTCAATCTCTGCCTCCATGTCATCTTTATCCCATTCCAAAAATGTTGTTAAAGATTGAATAACCTTTTCTGGAACCATTCTAAATCCCAAGCAGAATTCTGTTTCTCTAATTCCAATAGCATCAGATTGTCTAAGTCCTTTTTCATCTCTCTGTTTATTACTTCTGTCTTTTTAAAATTTCCTATTTATCATTCATTTGCTTTACTTCTCCAATCAGTTGTCCTACAGATTCTTCAATTTTTTTTAAAGTTCTTCTTTCATTGCCTCTTTCACCTTTCTGTTTTTTCTTCCATTCTCCCTTCAAATGCAGCCAAATCACTTTTAACAGATTTCTTCCCCACCTCTTCAAACATTTTTTGTAATATTTCTGGAGTAATCCTGTTTTCAGTCCGTTGCTCTAATGACCCTCTCCTCCCTTCGCCAAGCTTTGCTGCTTTTCTGGTGGTTGCCATTCTTTTATTTGTAGTCCAAAAGCAAAAGTGAATCAATTACAATCAAAGGTGAAGGTAAAAGGTGACCCTCCCTTTCTTTCTTTTTTCTCTTTTGCCTTTTCTGTGTCCTTAAGGCTTTGGTCCAATCTGGCTTTCCATAATTTTGGTCACACAGTCTGTCTCATATTACAGTTATCTCTTTGTTTTGTAGATTCTACCAGTTGTCTTTTCCCTTTGATGTTAAACATTCCCATGAAGGTCTGGTCTTCTTATCTAGTTCGTTCTAAATAATATCAAAATCACTTTTGACAAAATATTAATCTTTCCAATTTATACTGTCCCCTTTATCCATTTATAACTTTCTTAAATCAAAATTTTAGTAAGCTTTTTGATGTTAATTTAAAGTCTTTAAATATGCTATTTTCCTCTTTTTTTTTCTTTTCTGTAATCTGGAGGGAAGGCTGACTCACCGAGGGGCTGTTTTCTTTCTCCCACTGGTTCAAAGATCTCTCTTTAACTTGTAAATTGATTACATCTGAAAGCATTTTAAAAAGTGAGGCTTTGAGAGAACCTAATACCCTTAAAAATGCTGCATTGTGGTTACGAGTATGATGTCTCCCCCTCGTCCCCCAGCTGCTCTACTCACAAGAAGGCTGCAAGAATCTTTGATTCCTGCAATCTCCTCATGAGGAGCAGCTCTCCAGGATGCAGGTGGGCGATCTCTTGGTCTCTCTTTTATCTGGAGAGACTCAGCCGGATGGAATTCACTGCTGGCTGCCGATCACTGCCACAACACCATCTCTGCTCCTTTGGAGACGCCTAGTCTGCCACAGAACCTTATCTCAACTGGATGTCCATGTGTGTCATTATTCTTATAGGTATCATACTGCCAACCTCTGGTGCTTATATGGTGCTCCTTAAAAGCTGTCAATGATAAAGTATTGGTCTGCATAAAGGAAAAGATTGGAGATTATGCTGTAGACCATTTATTTACTTATTTAAATTTATATGGCTGCCTATCTCATCATGACTTTGAGTAACTACTAACAGTTAAAAAACACAATATAACAATAAGTACATAATCAGCAGCCTATATAAAATTGCAAATAACCATCAACTTAACCATTTCACAGGTTCTGCCATATGTTCTGACCCCCCAGACCAATGACATAGCCAAGTCTTTAAGGCCTTACAAAAGGTCAGCAGGTTTGGGGCTAATCTAATCTCCATAGGGGTGATGTTCCAAAGAGCAGGTGACATGGCAGAAAAGAGTCTCTTCTTGGGTCCCACCAATTGGCACTCTCTAATAGATAGAACCTGTAGCATACCTCTCCTGCCTTATATGATGGGATGGGGAGAGGTAGTCCCTCAAATAATCTGGCCCCATGCCATGATGGGCTTGATAGGTGACTACCAGCACCTTGAACTGAATCCAGAAGCACACTGGGCAACCCGTTTAGCCTGCAGAGCAGAGGTCTAATTTGCACTGATCAAGGAGCACACATACCTTCCCACATCACTGTATTTTGAACCAGTTGCAGTTTTCAGATGTTCTTCAAGGGCAGCCCTGTGTAAAGTGTATTGTAGTAGTCCGTTTGGGAAGTGACTAAGACACAAGTGACTATGAGCAGAGTCTCTCGGTCCAGGAACAGTCGCAATTGGAACACAACCCAAAGCTGTACAAAAGCCTTCCTGGCCACAGCTGCCACCTGTACCTTGAATAGGAGCCATCAGTCCAGGAAGACCCCAAATTGTACACTGGTTCTGTTCAACCAGAACCAGCGCAACCCCATCAGGAACTAAATATAGAACATCCCCAGATTTTTGTACTTACAGGTATATGGTGTAGGAAATATATAGGTATCTATTTTGTACTTATAAATATATGACATAGGAAGATATCTAGGAAATTATTGTGGATGAACTTTTGACTTGTTTAATTTCTGCCCATACAAACACAGTAGTAGCTGGATTTGGGGATAGGTGTGGGAGATGGAAGAATGATATGTTGAAAAGTTGCATCAGCCATATATTTTTCAGAAATATCTCTATCCAGTGATCGGGAAAGTTCCATCTATTCAATATCTACTTAAATATTCAATATCACAGAGCAAAGTTGATCTGAAAGACCAAAGCAGATTTGCCTATGTAACTTCTGACATGTAAAGTCATCATAGGGCAGAAGATTGAATGAAATTTTATATATTTATTTCAAGTTCCTGGATATTTGAAGCATGACTAGAAACTGGATCTACCTTCTAAGGTCACCTAAAATTGAAGGGTATTATTATTATTATTATTATTATTATTATTATTATTATTACCACCACCACCAACAACATACTACCAAAATCTGTGCTCCATGCAGCTCAACTCTAAACCATGAAAGTGTATACAAAATTACATCTGTTCATCCTTAAAATGCTATTCCTCAGATTTTTGCTGCATAGATTATTATAGTTACACCTTTGGAAATTTAAATGTATCATTCTGGAATTCTTTAATGGATGATACAGCTTACTGTCTGCCTACAACTCATCTTCAAAGGCACAGTGAAAATATCTGAATTTTAAGATACCGAATACAAGAACATTAACTTCATCCCACTTCTAAGTTGGTCAGTTCTTCATTCCAGTTCTTCTTTTATGTATACATGATACTTGACACTAAGGTGCAAAAAAAAAAAAAATCCCCCCAAAAATCGTAAGACAGGTAAACTTGCAAAGTAATAAGAGAAAAGAGAGAGAAAGAAACACAGTGGTAGTTCCTGCAAACTGAGACTTTATTAAGTCAGTAATATAGATTCCTGGGTGCTTAATTTCTGTGAAAGGAATTATGAAATGTTTAGTATAAATAGAGATGGACATTAAGATCGTTTTCAGACATGAACTACTTGATCATTATGAACTCATCAGATAAAGAAAGAATTACATTATCTTGCCTCTTATATAAACAAATAGTTAAAGTAAAAATATAAGACACAAGTGAAATCCTTCTGGAACCTTGTACTTACTTTATACCATGTTCCTGTACACACTTTCATACCACAATCATACCAAAAGTTATAGTTCTTATATTTCAGGAGGAATCCTTTTTCTCTAGATTGAAAGCTGTTTATATATTGTCCTGATATGACAGATGACACCAAAATTGTATGCAGAAGGTAAAATTTTGTTCTTTTGAAAATAAACATTCAATTTCCTATTCAAAGGAGTTTCATAAATTCAAGATACATTTTACTTTAAACACAAGATGATGGTATTGCACAAACAATAAAAATAAAAATTACTTTACCTACAGAATGATCTAGCCTTTAGACAAAGGAATCTCAGAGCAAAAGGCAACAGCTCTAACTAGATCTTGAGAAATTTCAGAAGAAAATACACCAGCATCAGAAAATAACTTCCATTGGATATTGATCACAAATATAAAGGAAATTCTACAAGCTGCTTTACAAAGAATTATACTGAATTTATTAACTTCCCTGAAGAAGCTGAGAAAAATGGAAATATATCATCCTAGCGGGCAAGTGGTCTTGTTCTTTATTTCTCTGCGTAACTCTGGTACATTGTGTGACCCATTCCGCTATTCAGTGCCTGAGGAGAAGAAAGCTGGGTCTACAGTAGCAAATGTGTTAAAAGAATTGAAAGTAGATGTTCTCTCTGCTCACAAAGCACAGTTGATTTCTAAAAGTTCCAGGCAGGATTTTCAGCTGGATCCTCAATTGACCAAGAAATTTTATTTGATCAGAATGATCCTTGCATTCTGTTCTCTGAAATTGTGCTGGAAAATCCTTTGCAAGTGTTCACAATGGAAGTTCAGATAGAAGATGTGAATGATAATTCCCCTAGATTCTCTAACCTGAACAGACTCCTGTAAATACGCATTTTCCTTTGGACACAGCCCAAGATTTAGACAAAGGAAAAAATGCTATCCAGAACTACATACTTAGCACAAATGGACATTTTAAGCTGGTCAAAGTCAAAATGATGGCAGCAAATATGCAGAACTGCTTTTGGACCATTTTGGACCATTAGACCGTGAGGTGATTCCTCAGTTTATCCTCATTCTGGAAGCTGTGGATGGAGGAATACCAAGGAGAACTGGTACAGCACAGATAGTTATTGAAATTCTTCCCCAGAAACACTGGTGGCCCTCTTTGGTGTCAGAGATCAAGACTGGAGACCATGGCAGAACTGCCTGCAACACTGATGCAAATCTACCCTTTATACTAAAACTGACTGAAAACAATTATTACCAGCTTGTGACTCAACAGCCATTGGACAGAGAACAAATGTCAGAATATAACATCACCATCACAGCCACTGACCAAGGTTCTCCCAGACTCACTTCAATGACAGTTATTAACATTCAAATGTCAGATGTCAACGATAACCCTCCAATGTTTGAAAGATCTTTCCATGATTTGCACTTACGAGAAAACAACATTCCAGGTCTGCTCATTGGATCAGTCCATGCTGTGTATGTGGACACAGAACAAAATGCCAAAGTGACCTATTCACTCTTGCCTGGGAAGGTCAGAGATGGTCCTGTATCATCTTATGTTTCCATCAACTCTGAAACTGGGAACCTGTATGCCATTCGATCTATAGATTATGAGGACATTCAAGATTTTCAGGTGATGGTGAGGGCTGTAGACAGGGGCTCTCCTGCACTGAGCTCAGAAACGATAGTCCGAGTTCACATCACAGATGAAAATGACAACGCCCCCTTCATCCTCTGCCCACTTCAGAACAGCACTTCTCCATCAAATGATCTTGTTCCCAGGGGAGCAGAGACAGGCTACCTGGTCACCAAAGTGGTGGCAATGGACAGAGATTCAGGGCAGAAT